CGGTTATGGGACCGCAGTGTGGTGCAGCCAGCCTAGCTTCCCCCTGCTGTTTGGGTTCATTTATTCATTCAGCACTCACGTGCTGAGCAGCCGCCCTGGGCCCGGCTCTCCTCCTGCAGGGGCTCCCAGGCCAGGGTCATTGAGCTTCTCGCTGGAGCATGGGGCATGAGAGGCTCTGGAGGCCCGGAGCAGCCACCACAGCTGGGGAGCCACGGAAGGCTCCTGGCACAAGTGGTTTTCAAAAAGTTATTGATTTTCTTACTAGTCTTATTTTTAGGGGGAAGGTAATAGATGCATGTGGTTAAAAAAACAAAAGTTAAAAGAACAAAATAGCAAATATACAACGAACAGTAAGTTTCCCTTGAACTTGATACTCACTACTTCCCATTCCCAGAGACAACCTCAGTTATCAGTTTCTTCTGAGACCCTCAGAGATAATCCGTGCATATCTAAGGTTAGGGGTGAATGGTATGTCCTTTTAAGAAAAAATAATTTGTAATATACCATGGGTGATGTCCTACACCCTGCTTTTTTTTTCAGCCTTTGAGTATTTCAGACCTACCAAAAAGCTGAAATAATGGTATAATGAATACCCGAGTATACTTTACCCAGATTCACCAGTTCTTAACATTTTGCCACGTTTGCTTTATCTCTTCTTTTATATACATGGACATATGTGTATACATATTTTTTTTTTTGCTGATTTATTTGAGTGTTAGTTGCAGGCATCGTACCTTTCTCTCCTAAGTACTTTATCGTGTATCTCTTACATAATCACAGTACCACGATCACACCTAAGAAAATTAACACTAATTCCATAACATTATCTAACATTCTCATTTTCCCAGTTGTCCCCAAATGATCTTTATAGCTATTTTTTCCCTCTGCTCCAGAATCTGATTCAGAATCACTCATTGAATCTTGCTATCATGTGTCTTTTCTTTTTTTCTTTTCCAGCTTTGTTGAGATATAATTGTGATTTAATGTTGTGTAAGTTTAAGGTATACAGTGTGATGATTTGATATATGTGCATATTGTGAAGCGATTACCACAATAAGGTTACTTAACACATCATTCACCTCACGTAATTACCATTTTGTTGTTGTGTCATGTTTCTTTTGTGTCTTGTTTAATCCAGAACATTCCCCAGCCTTTCTTTGTTTGTTTTGTCTTTTATGACATTGACTCTAAGAGTCCACGCCAGTTATTTGGTCTCTGTCTGCCTACCTCTTCCTGATTGGAGTCAGGTTAAGCAGCTCTGCGGGCCCATCGCACAGAGGATGCTGTGCCCTCCTTAGTGCAGGAGGCACTCAGTGTGCTCCTCTCATTATTGGTGATGCTTAATTTGATCACTCGGTTAACGAGGTATCTGCCACATCTCCCTGTGGTGGAAGTGCTTTTTCCTCTCTCTGATTAATCTGGAGGGTGGTACTTAGGTGCCATGTCACCGTCCTATTCCCCCAGCAACGTTTCCTTCGTGACTTGAGCTGGCTTTTTGCCATTTCTACTTACTCTATCATGGGGAGGTTTCTGTATCAGCACCTAGAGATCCATCCTGGCCCCATAACAGCTGGAGTTGTGTTGTTGCCTTTTCAGGCTATCTGGTCATATATTTACTTGGTTCTTTATTAACGGACATAAAGGTTGTCTCCCAATCTCTTGCTACAACAAACAGTACTGCAGGGACTGTTCTACTACATTTTCTCAGGCACACGTGCAACCCCTGAAGGTTGAGTGGAAGTTCCTTGGGTAGAGAAGGGGGAAGGAGTGGAGAGGGAATGCCAAGGCGGGAAGGTGGGTGGGGTACCAGGGTCCTAGGAGCAGCAGGTGAGAAAGGGATCTGGTTCAGGTGCTGGAGAGCCAGTGAGTCCCAGAAGGGTCAAGGGACTTTCCCAAGGTCACACAACAAGTTGGTGGCAGAGCCAGGAACAGGGCTCAGAGCCCTTGACTCCCTGAACAATGTTCCTTCACTTCTTCCACAAAGTGGCCTAAAACAAGGTTCACATAACCCTGGAAGGGCCCCTGTGTGCCTGATCAAGGCCTGACTAGAGGCCTAGGTTTGCAGGAGCCCCTCCCAGCCACTCTGACTCTTGGCCTCTGATCTGGAGGGGGATAACCCGGCTGGACCCTCAGAGCCCTAAGGACGGGACCTTCCTGGCCTCATGACTTCGCCAGGGAGGAGCCGTCAGAGAGGGTCTGCAGCTCCTGCTGGCAGGATTTCTGTGGGAAGAAAGCAGGCTTCAGAACAGCTCTGGGAGCTGTAGGGTTGTCACCAGCCCATTGTACAGATGGGGAAACTGAGTCCTGAAGTCATAGCCAGTAGAGCAAAGGGGAGAGGCTAGCTCCTCTCTCTCTTTTCCATATCTGTCAAAACCCAGACCCTCAAGGAAGGCCACCCTGACCCTCCTGGCCTTGCCCCTTCCTATGAGCACCGCTTGATTCTCCCTCTTCCCTTGCACTCTCTTTTCGAGGCCAGTGTGGTCCCAGCCTGCTGGCAGCCCCCGCATGGTGTGTGCACATAAGGCAGGAGGCACCAGGGGTGGGGGTCGAACTGGCCTGCTGGCTCAGGCATATGACACCTGCGTGGGGCAGGATGCTCACTGGAGGTGTAGCCTCGGGTAAGGCCACTTGCCTCTCAGCCTGGCTCATCTGTAAAATGGGGATAATAATAGCCTCTCCCTCTCAGTTGTTAGAGGATTTGATGAGCCATAACGTGCCAGGGACAGGGCGCAGCACAGAATAAGTGCTCAGCAAACAGGACCTATTATTATTTTTGTTATTATCATCTAGTCAGTGGGGAGGCGGCAGCAGCAGCTGCAGGCCTGCAGGGGAGGGAGTGTTTGCAAACTGACAGCTGGGAGGGTGACTAATGGTGCCTCAGCCTCCTCGCCCTCTCTCCCTCGGTGGTGGTGAATCTTGGGAGGGAGAGGGAGGCATGGGGATGTGGAGAGCTGGCAGAACCCCTATTCAGAAGGTCTTGAAGGTTGGGGACCCAGCCAGCCACAGAGGGACCACAGTTCAAGTTGCGGACCATCGCCCCTAACTAGCTGTGCGACGTAGGGCAAGTTGTTCAAACCTCATGAGCCTCAGTTTCCATTTCTATAAAATGGGGGCAAGAGGAGCTCACGGCTCCCACATGTGGTTCTTGGGAGCCTGGAGGTGCTTCCTATACTCATGGTGGCTCAGTCGTGTCAATGTATGTGTGTTTAGGGGAGTCCAGGCTCATCCTTCTTGTGCCCCAGGCTCCCTGCCCAGATGGCAGAGGTTGACGGGCTGGCCTTGGGACAGGAAGCACTATGTATTCTGGGAGGAAGGGAAGCCTGGAAGTGGGGCCTGGACGCGGTGGTGCTTCTCCCCAGCTCTGTTCTCCCCGGCTCCTTCCGGTCTCCAAGACCACACACTCCCCTGCTGAGGCCCACAGACCCCACGGCCCTCAGAAGCAAACCCTGTTTCCTCACATCAGCGTTTGAAGCCCCCGCATCCCTGCAAGTTTTGTGCCAGGCAGACCCAGTACACACGGTCCCCTGCCACAGACTGACGGGGTGCTCAGACCGTCAGGGTCTGTTTCCCGCCCTCCTCACCATGGGCTTCCAGCCTGCCTTTTTTTAGCCCTCCAGCATTCAGGGCTCAGCTCCAGCGCTCCCTCCTCCAGGAAGCCCACCTAAGCTCTGCAGTCCTCACTCACCGCACACCCCTAGGCACTTGCACTCAAATGTCTTCTTCCACCGCCTGGCCTGGGGTAGGTGGTAAAGTTTGTGAGTGTCAACCAGGCCCCAGGCCTTGTGTGTCCTGCAAATGAGCCTGGGAACAAGACACGTGGAGGAGTTTTTCTTCTAACATACTGTGAGCACGGAGTAGTCACTGGCCCTGTGTAAGCCTCAGTTTCCTCATCTGTCAGAAGAGAACAGTAGCCCCATCCCTCTGCCTCCTGGGACAGGTACTCGGGGGCTCTGGGCTGTGTTTGGGAAGATGCTGGTCATAGAGGGAGTGCTGAGCTGGGCCCACAAAGAGTATGTGTGCAAGACGGGGTTGACTTGCTGCCCTTGGGGCGTGGGGTTGGCTGAGGTAACTTTCTCGGGGTAGTCAATTTTATTGAAGTAAACACATACACCAGAACATATACCAGCCACAAGGGTACAGCTCAGTGAAGCGCTACAGAGTTGAACTTGCCCCCTTCCAGTCACTGCCTCTTCCAAGGGGAGTCGCCATCCTGCACTGGAAAATCCCCTGACTGTGGAGTTTATACAAATGGAATCACATGGCATGTGTGCTTTCTGTCTGGCGTCTTGGTTAGCATGTTTAGATGCATCAGTGTTGTTTATTCATGTTTACTGCTGTCCGGTACTCTGTGAATGTACACAGTTTATCCATCTCACTCCTCATGGGCGTCTGGGCAGTTCCCAGTGTGAGGTTTGTTACAGACCGTGCTACTGTGTGTGCTCCTGTGCCTGTGTCAGCAGTGCCTGCCCTGTTTTCTCTTGGGTATGTGCTGGGAAGTGGGGTTGCCAGGCCATGGGGTTGGCATACATTTGGCTTCAGATATACTGCCTGGGCGAGTTTTTACAGGTGACAGAACTAAGAGGCCCACAGAGGACAAGGGACTTTCCCAAGGTCCCAGGCACCTTCCCCAGGTTCACAGTTGCCCTGTGGTCCCCCACAGACCACTTAGCTGATATCCAGCCATGGGGCTGGTAGGGCAGGCACTACTCGCCCCCTACGCTTTGTAGCCTCTGTTGGTCATTCCAAGGGCTGTAAGGCCACAATGGGCTCAGGCTTGACGGCCCTCTGTCCTTGGGGGTCCTCAGCCCTCATCCCCTGCCTCCTCCCCTGCCCTGTGCCCTCAGCCTGCTGAGACTGGAAAGGACAGCCCTTGCCCCAGGTCCCAGCTCTTGAAGCCTCTGGCATCTGTTCGCATTGCTATGGGGAAGGAGTAGGGTCTCAGCGACGGAGGGAACCATCTCCTCTCACAGCCTTCCCTCAATCTTCCCCTCTCCCTGCAGCTCTCATGTTACCAAGTGACAGGTTGGCCTTCCTGTGACACGGGGACACCAGATCTTCTGAGAAGATGTCGGCAATTCAGGTACTGCAGGGGCAGGGGTCTAGGGCAGTGGAGTATCCCCACCACCACCACGGGGGTGCTGAGAAGAGAGAGAATGAGGATTCAGGTCGATTCATTCCCCTTTTCCCCAGTCCTGGCTTTCAACAAAATGGAATTCCAGGGCCCACTGTCAGATGCGGGGCCCTCAAGATGGGAGCACAGGTCTGGGGGCAGTGGGGAAGTCTCAGCTAGAAGATTCCCAGAGCTCTCCGGGGGAAGGGCACCTCACCCAGACTCAGGGAGGCCAGCCAAGACGCTGTGACCTTGAGGGCTTGCAGGCAGGTGGGTGGGGGCTGCCCCAGGCTGCACCCGCCCACGTGTCGCCTGCCCTGCAGGCTGCCTGGCCATCCGGTACAGAATGTATTGCCAAGTACAACTTTCACGGCACTGCTGAGCAGGACCTTCCCTTCTGCAAAGGAGACGTGCTCACCATTGTGGCTGTCACCAAGGTAACCAGGGACTTCACACCCCTACCCCCTTCCTACCTCTGGGTTTTGTCTCACCTGCATGGGAGGGTGAGCCCTGAGAGCGTGTCTGGGCTCCCCTCTCCCCAGGACCCCAACTGGTACAAAGCCAAGAACAAGGTGGGCCGTGAGGGCATCATCCCAGCCAACTACGTCCAGAAGCGGGAGGGCGTGAAGGCAGGCACCAAGCTCAGCCTCATGCCGTGAGTACCTCTGAGGAGCGGTTGGGATTTCCCAGTCTGGGAGGAAGGAGGACGGGGAGCCCTGTTACCCCTAGAAGAGAGTCAGGAGAGCAGGGAGGCGAGAGTGAGGGGCTGGGTTGTCCATGAGGGCCTCTTGAGATGAGGGCAAGGGCATGGGTGCCGGACCTCAAAGGGGAGGACAGAGCTAGGAGGGCTGAAGAAAGAAGGGCAGGAGGCAGAGGATGAGGGCCTCCAGAGCCTGTCTGAGCCCTGAACTGTGGAGAGGTGCCAGCCAGAGGGAGGGCCTTTGGGAAATGGAGCCTGGCAGTGCCCTTGGGCCACCATGACCCCAGGCCTGGCCTCCCCGCAGCTGGTTCCATGGCAAGATCACGCGGGAGCAGGCAGAGCGGCTCCTGTGCCCACCAGAGACAGGCCTGTTCCTGGTGCGGGAGAGCACCAACTACCCCGGGGACTACACTCTGTGCGTGAGCTGCGACGGCAAGGTGGAGCACTACCGCATCATATACCACGCCAGCAAGCTCAGCATCGACGAGGAGGTGTACTTCGAGAACCTCATGCAGCTGGTGGAGGTGAGCGGAGCGTGCCGGCCCTGATTCCGGCTACAGTCCCACCACTCTAGCTGGGTGACCTTGGGCATGTCCTGCAGCCTCTGCAAGCCCACGTTTCCTCACGCCTCGACAGAGCCCGTGCTGTGTGCCAGCGTTGAACTCTGACCCTACAGTGCCTGCACAGGGAGGTGGTACCCCAGTTCATAGGCCAGGAAACAGAGGTTCAGAGCAGTTAAGGGACCTGCCTCTGGTCACACAGCTGTGACTTGGAGGTGCCAGGACTAGAATCTGAGTATTCTGATCCCAGAACTAGCTTCCTTCCAGCCACTCATAGAGCTGTATGCCCAGCTGTGTGTACGTAAACATGTCCTCATGAGCTTTACCTTGATGGCCCACATGTCCCTGCAGCGCCCAAGGCCATCTCTACCCCAGGCAGCCTCCATATGCCTCCTGTACTCACTCTCAGCACCTTCCCGCTGTTGGCCTGGCTTGGCCTATGACAGGGGAGGGTCCTGTGCACACCTGGCTAGAGGCTGGTATTAGACTGAGCCAGGGCTTGTCCTCTGCTTTGGGATGCTGGTGAGGCCCAGAGTGATCACAACAACCCGGTATCCGTCCAGCACCTGGGTGTGGGGTGGCATGGGAGAGGGACCATGTGTCTGGGGCCTCCCTAACCCCTGCTAGAAACGGAGAGCCCTCCTGACCTAAAGCAACTCTGGGCTGGGTGGGACCGGCCTCTGCTGCCATCTGGTGGTCAGACCAGGGCAGTGCACGGGAGCCGCGGGTGGTGCACAGGGGGCTGGCCCTGATCGCCTGCCCTGCCCTCTACAGCACTACACCTCAGACGCAGATGGACTCTGTACTCGCCTCATCAAGCCAAAGGTCATGGAGGGCACCGTGGCGGCCCAGGATGAGTTCTTCCGCAGTGAGTGCCACCCCCCCACGCCCACTCCTCACTTGCCTACCCGCCTCCTCCCACCCGGGCTTCCTGGCACTACCCCCTCCTGGAGGCTCTGGAGACGTCCAGGGAACCCCACATAAGTCACAGTCCAGTCTGCCTCTGCTGTGACCCCCGCTCTGGCTTCAGCACCCCTCACTCACCACCCACTCCCCCCGCAGGCGGCTGGGCGTTGAACATGAAGGACCTGAAGCTGCTGCAGACCATTGGGAAGGGGGAGTTTGGAGGTGAGCCAGAGAGGGTGGGAGCCCTAGGAGAGGCTGCTGACTGGGGGGAGTCCAGGAAACGACCCGCAACTCTCTTGCCCCAGACGTGATGCTAGGCGACTACCGAGGGAACAAAGTCGCCGTCAAGTGCATTAAGAACGACGCCACTGCCCAGGCCTTCCTGGCTGAAGCCTCGGTCATGACGTGAGTTGGGGCAGGGGGTGGGGAGGTCACCCGGGGCCAAGAGGTGATGGGGAGGCTTGGCAGGCTCTGACCACCCCGTCCTGCCCCAGGCAACTTCGGCATAGCAACCTGGTACAGCTTCTGGGCGTGATCGTAGAGGAGAAAGGTGGGCTCTACATCGTCACCGAGTACATGGCCAAGGTGTGTGCCTGCCCCGCGATCCAACTGCCAGCCTGGAGCTGAACACTGGGGCTCGAGCCTTCCAGCTGCCCCAAGCCCCCCACCATACCCTTGGGCCCCTGCTCCCTCAGTCCCTTCTCTCCAACTGGTCTTTGAAGTCACCAGGGCTTGGCTTTTGTCTTGGTTCATCATTTATTCACTACGACCTTGGAAAAGTTGTGTCACCCCTCCAAACCTCAGGTCCTCATCTGTGAATGGAGATAGTAACAAAGTTTACCTCAGAGATTTATGAAGATTAAGAGATAATGCATGATAATTGCTGAGCACAGCGTCCAGCGTCCAGGCTCTGATATTCCTTCAGTAGTGACGTCCTGACCTCTGCCCTGCCCCACCCCTCTCCCGACACCTCCCTTGAGTGTCGCCATTTGCCCAGCCCCAGGCCCACTGTTCCCAGGGTCTAGAGGGCAAGTCTGACCTATAGGGCCTGTTGGTCTGTCTGTCCTGCCCCCAGGGGAGTCTGGTGGACTACTTGCGGTCTCGGGGTCGGTCGGTGCTGGGCGGAGACTGTCTCCTCAAGTTCTCACTGTGAGTGAAGCAATGCCTGATTGGGGGGAGGGCGCTGCTATGGGATCCCTGTCTGAGGGGACATGTGGCTGGCTCGCCCCCAGAGATGTCTGCGAGGCCATGGAATACCTGGAGGGCAACAACTTCGTGCACCGGGACCTGGCAGCCCGCAACGTGCTGGTGTCCGAGGACAACGTGGCCAAGGTCAGCGACTTCGGCCTCACCAAGGAGGCTTCCAGCACCCAGGACACGGGCAAGCTGCCAGTCAAGTGGACAGCCCCTGAGGCCCTGAGAGAGAAGGTAGGCGCGCCTCTCCTCAGGGCCTAAGCAGTGGTGGATGGGGTTCCCGGGTCACCCACACCCCCAAGTTCCCAGGACCTGACACTGCCTCTCCCATGTACGTGGCAGAAATTCTCCACCAAGTCTGACGTGTGGAGTTTCGGGATCCTCCTCTGGGAAATCTACTCTTTCGGGCGAGTGCCTTATCCGAGAATTGTGAGTGTGGGCGCTGGGGCTGGGTGGGGCTTGGAGCAAGGGAGGGGGGGACGGGGAGGGGGAGGGGCTGGGCCCCGCCTTCCCAGCCTGAGGCCTAGAAGCTGCAGACCTGCCCTCGGGACCTTCCAGACCGCTCCCCGGGCCCGGGCTGAGGTGGAACTAGGGGCGTTCTTGGAGAGCAACACTGAGTGGGGGTCCCCTCGGGGTCAGGCCTTACACCGATGCGTACCACCCACCTGCCCGCAGCCCCTGAAGGACGTTGTCCCGCGGGTGGAGAAGGGCTACAAGATGGACGCCCCCGATGGCTGCCCACCTGCAGTCTACGAGGTCATGAAGAACTGCTGGCACCTGGACGCCGCCACGCGGCCCTCCTTCCTGCAGCTCCGTGAGCAGCTGGAGCACATCAAAACCCACGAGCTGCACCTGTGACTGCCTGCCTCCGCCCAGGTCGGGGGCCTGTGGGGACTGAACCCGGAGAGATTGCGGACCTGGTGCCCCACTCGCTGGGCCCAAACCCGAACTGAGCCCAGCAGGACCATGGGCCTCTTTTCTCTGTCGCAGCCTGCGCCCCTTCTGGCCCCCGGAGACCCCGCCTAGGCCTGGCACCTTCTCTCATGGACCCACCTGTGGGGCTTTGGGAATCCCGCCGAAGGGCCAAGAAGGGAGGAGGCTGAGGAGCCCTACTGGAGTCAGGCTCCCCCTGGCCTCCCGTATCTCGCCTTCTTAGAGTTTTATCCCTTTCCTTTTTTGAGATTTTTTTCCGTGTGTTTATTTTTTATTATTTTTCAAGACAAGGAGAAAGAAAGTACCCAGCAAATGGGCATTTTACAAGAAGTACGAATCTTATTTTTCCTGTCCTGCCCACAAGGCTTGGGGAGACCAGGCCCCTCTCTAGGGACCCATCGCCCCAGCCTCGTTCCCCACCCCGTGTTCCTTGTCTGTGTTGCCTCGGTCGCCCCGTGTCTGCGCTTGACCATGTTGCACTGTTTGCATGCGCCCAAGGCAGACGTCTGTCAGGGGCTTGGAGTCCGTGTGCCGCTGCCGCCCGCCCACCCACCTGCCTTGTGAGATGGAATCGTAATAAACCACTCCATGAGGACCCCGCCACCCAGTCTCGGCGCTTCCTCCGCCGAGCCTGCCTGTCCCACCCGGCCTCCCATCCCCGTGCCATCTTGTCCATCCCCCTGTCTCTGTGAGTGAGGCTGTGCTTGCCCTGTGAGTGGGGCGGGGTGGGGAGCACCGCGGGGAGATGTAGCCGCCGCCTTATGTCAGCTGCACGAGCGAGTGTCCTGTGTCTGCCATGGGAGAGCTCTCACTACCCGCCCCTCCCAGTGTCCTGCTGCCCGGCAGGCTTGGCCCTGAGGCCGTCCCGGGCTTGGGTCCCATCCACAGGGTGATGCCTGGGCATCCCGGACGCCTCTCCTGCCGTGTTGTTCAGGCCCTCAGCACGAGGAGGGCTGGAGCCATGGACGGGGGAGAAAGCCAGGCCTGACCAGCTGGAGATGGGCTCCCTTTGGTAGGAGGCAGGATAAACGTCTCGTGCTTCAGAGGAGATGGTGACCTGGAGTGGGAGGGGGAAGGGGAGACTCTGATACGCTGGTGGTTCTCACAGTCCGCCTAAGATGTAGCACTGCCGCCCCGTCCCCAGCCCTATGTGTGCCCAGCCCCGTGCCTGAGGACGCAAAGGTTGCAGGGGGGTCTTCCCCACCCCACCTTGTGGGGCACAGATGGAGAACGCGCACCAGCCATGGGATTTTCTCCCCTCGGGTTCCCCAGGGCCAGGGGTCAGTGCGGAACCTCTGAGGGCTGTGGGGAGGCTCACCTCATTCACTGAGACAGGCAGAGGGGGTGGGGTTCCCCTTGTTGTTGGCACTCCGCGCCCGCCTCTCCCAGCCAGCAAGCCCTGAAATCCAGGCAGTTCTGACTTGGCAGTACGCCTCGCATCTGCAGCTCCTCGGCCCACCGTGGTCCAGCACCATCACCTCCCACAGCCCAGTGCTGCCACTCCTCACCTCCCTGAGTCCGTTCTCTCTGCACACAGCCAGGCTCATTTTTCTAAAACTAGACTGTTCATTCAACAACAAATATTTGGATACCTGCTGTGTGTAGGACTGGGGTTCAGCAGTGAGCAAAACAGACCCCGTGGAGTTCACAGTTGGGAAGACGGAGTTCACATGGGAAGACAATCACACATAGACTTACAAACTGATAAGTGCTGTAAAAGAAACGTACATCATGGGAATCGGGCCTTGACTGTAGATCAGGGAGGGCTTCCCAGAAGAGGCAGCATGTAAGCTGAGGTCAGGATGAACAGGAGAGTAAGGGAGTGGGTAGCAGCATACCAAGAGGGAGGAGCCAGCTGGTCCCTGCTTCCCAGAAATCACGGGAGAGGGGAACTGAGCCTGCCATAGGTGTTAGCCACAAGGAGGTTGCTGGTGACTTTAGCAAGACCTGAGTTTGCTGGTGGTGGATTCCAGATCACAATGGCTAGAGGAGGTGCGAGGAATGCGGGAAGGTAGCCAATCTTTGGAGGAGCCTAGCCATAATGAAGAGGAGAGGGGGTGAGAGGATATTTAAGGCAGCAGAGGCTTGAGCAAATCTGACTGCCAAAGGGAAGGACATTTACCTTGGGAGAGTGTCCACACACTGAGAGGGAGGCGGAAAATATAGAGGGGAGGTCATGGTAGTGATTGAAGGTGGAACCTTCCCTAGAGCAAGGTCGGGCAGCTGGAATCCAGACCGTAAGGGGCAGTGGGTCTGCGATGGGAGAGGGACTGTCCTGGTGAGACTGCCGAGGAGAGGGAATCACGCGGTGGCACACTGGTAAATGTCTGACACTCAGGTCTAGGGCAGGTGTGGGGGAAGGGAGCTCTGATGTATAGTGTGCCGGTGTCGACGGTGTACCCTCTGCCAGGGTAGATTTCATGCTACCAACCTGACTTCACTGAAAGCAGGGATCAGGGTGGACTTTGACAATTGGCTCTCACTAGCTGGTCTGGAAGCCAGTTCAGGTTCAGAAACATGCAAAGATGCCTGTGGCCATGAGGCCACAAGAGGGGCCAGGCAGGCGTCACAGTGGAGAACTGCACCAAGTGTGACAAGCAAGAACAAAGGGGCGGGCTTCCCTGGTGGCGCAGTGGTTGAGACTCCGCCTGCCGATGCAGGGGACACCGGGTCGTGCCCAGGTCCGAGAAGATCCCACGTGCTGTGGAGCAGCTGCGCCCATGAGCCATGGCCGCTGGGCCTGCGCGTCCGGTCCGGGAAGGTCCCACATGCCGCGGAGCGGCTGGGCCCGTGAGCCATGGCCGCTGAGCCTGGGCGTCCGGAGCCTGTGCTCCGCAACGGGAGAGGCCACAACAGTGAGAGGCCCGCGTACCGCAAAAAAAAAAAAAAAGAATAAAGGGGCAAGTTCCGGTTGATGGGGCGCTGTGGGAATGCAGGCGCAGGTAATGGGATGTTCCTTCTACCTGGTGGCATGTGAGCCCCGCTCCTGCCCCCATTCCTTCATTACTTCTCCCCTCTCTCCCTTGGTTTATGGTTTTTTTATTTTCCCCCTCTTTCTTCTCTCTCATCCTCCCCTTGTGCTCTCCTGGCAACTACTGGCAACTGGCACGTCATAGATGAGTGAGACGGAGTTCTCGCCCAAGGAGCTTACAGACCTGGGAGAATCCGCTCAGGGCTCAGCTCGGTGCCCAGAAATCTGGTGGATGTTGCCCACCGCCAGCACTGAGCCTGTGAGGCAGAGGACGGAGGCGTGGGGCGGCTTCTCGGACGTGTGGAGAACAGTCAGGGACGGGGTGGGGCGATCCTGGCAAGGGAAGGGTGCTGACTGGGCAAAGGCGGTGAGGTGCTTAAGTGTGGCCGGGATAAGGTGCCAAAGGGTGTAGTTTGGGAGCAAGTGAGGCTGAAGAGAAAGCAGGGCCCAGACCCCACCTGGCTTTGCAGGCCCCTCAAGGAGTTTAACTTTATGCAAAGATGACCAAGAGCAATTGAAGGACTTAGGGCCGAGTGACATAGATCTGCACTTTAGAAAGATCATTCTGGCTGCAGTCTGGCTAGAGGAGGTTGTTGCCAAGATCTTGGCTCTCTGTGCACCGCTGCCGAACGGAAATACGGAGACAGAGTTATGGAGGAGAAAGAAAGAGCGGCTTTATTTCTTTGCCAGGCAAAGAGGCAACACAGTAGTCTAGCGCCTCAAGAACTATGAGCCGCTCTTTCTTTCCCCTCCATAACTCTGTCTCCGTATTTCCGTTCGGCAGCGGTGCACAGAGAGCCAAGATTTTGGCAACAGGGTGGTGGTGTCCGGAGTGGAGACAGGGAGATGGTGGGGAGGCTGAGAGGCCAGACAGGAGGTGACTGATGGTGGCCTGGACTGGGGAAGCTGGTAGGAAGTGGAGAGGAAGATGAACACAGTTGGTGTTTTACTGAGCTGAGTTCTGTCACGCCTTGTTCTAATGGATGTAGTACCTCACGTAACCCTCCAAACAACTCTTGGAGGTGTACGCTGTTATTCTCTCCATTTTACAGATAAGGAAAGTGAGGCTTGGAGAGATTAAAGCATCAGGTAACAGTTTGAGAGTGGCAGGGGCAAATTAAAGAGTTTGTGGATGGCCGATGCGAGGATGAGGCAGAGGAAGGGATCTGGGGGGATTCCAGTCTCCAGCTTGATAAGGTGGGTGGTGCCACCCATTTCCCCTCAGCCCTGGAGGAGGATGTGCTGGGGGTTGGAGAAGAGGAGTTTGGTTTGGACATGTTGTCTGGGGACCTTTGAGACATCCAAGCAGAGAGGTCTACTCCAGGGTTGGACATTCATTCGGGGCTGTGGCTCCAGGAGAAGCCAGGCTGAAAGTAGAGATTTGGGGATCATGGGCACAGCAATGGTGCTTGAAGCCATGGACGTGGACGAGCTTGGCCAGGTAGCACGTGGAGCCTGAGGAGAGATGTGACCCGTAAGGGGCCAGGGAGGGAGAACAGTGACCAAGAAGCGGCTCCTGGGATGGCCCAGGGCAGCAGAGAGGCAGGTGAGCCCTGGGACAGGGGGAAGAGAGGGGGTGTCCACAGCATTTCACATTGCAGAGACCGTGTTGAGAATCGTCTGCTAGGCACAGAGAACGGGCATCGTCAGACCTTGCTGGAGCAGTTTTCCTGGGAGGCGGAGGTGGGGAGGGCAGGAGCTGGAAGGGCTTAGGGGGAGCCGAGGAAGCAGGGCTGGAGGGGACCCCACCTTTCCACAGCTTGGCTGTGAAGGTGAAGGGGGAGAGCAGGTGGAGGTAGCTGAGGGCTTAGTGTAGAGAAATGAAGTTCTTCTTTTAGCGTGTCCTAAAATTTTCCACTTACAGCCTTGGTTTTAATTACTTTTTGGAGCTTCAGAATCTTAATCCTACTGGGGGTTTACAAAGTACAGTAAAACTTCAGCTACCCAGAAATCTTGGCAAATGAGCTACTCTGGAAAACCAAAATGTACTTGGATGAAAATATTTGAAATATAGGATTTCTTACTTTTTAAAAACTTTTTTTTTTTTTTTTGGTTTTGGTTTTTGTTTTTTTTTTTTTTTTTTTTTTTTTTTTTTTTTTTTTTTTCCTTGCGTTATGCGGGCCTCTCACTGTTGTGGCCTCTCCCGTTGCGGAGCACAGGCTCCAGACGCGCAGGCTCAGCGGCCATGGCTCACGGTCACAGCCGCTCCGCGGCACGTGGGATCTTCCCGGACCGGGGCACAAACCCATGTCCCCTGCGTCGGCAGGCGGACTCTCAACCACTGCGCCACCAGGGAAGCCCTCTCTTCTCTTTTTACCCCTCCTTGGAGAACCCCTCACCCTGCCTCTTGGACCTGTGAACACACACACACACACACACACACACGTTCATGGGATGAGTCCCGGACACACAGACACCAGGCAACTTGGACCAGCACCAACCTACATTTTGGCTCCACGCTGTTGGGTCTGTGGCTGTCCAAGAGAACTAAGGGGCTGCCTGGAGGGAGGCATCCCCATGGCCAGCTGTTTTGCCAGAGAGGGCCCCAGCCCTGCCCTGTATGTTTGTTGGGTGGAAGCAAGCATGAGAGCGTCTTAGCCCATATTTTGTAACCAGGGCCTTCTAAATCCAGACCTACAAAGAATCTGTCTTCTGCTTGGTCTTGTTCTAAAATGATTCTGGAGGACTTATAAGGACCTATGCAATAGAGAGAAGTTTAAATTAGGAGTGAGCAAGAAGAATAAGACTTAGGGTTGAGGCCTGAAATGAGTCCAAGAATGTGGCTTGTTGCCAAAACATATGCTGTGAAGTCTGCCCACCCTTCAGAGTTGGGCCATGGATCTGGTTCAGAGCCTCCTAGCAGACAAACCAAAGAGAGAAAGCAGATCCATTGTGTATTTCCGTGTCTGTGAGATGAAATTTCTGAAAAACAGCATGATTCCTAACTGAGACCAGAACAAATATCCCTTTAAGAAGACGGGCCCTCTCGGCAGGGTTTTAGGCCCAGTCCTCCCTCACAGAGACACAGGAGGTAAGCAAAGGAGAGAGCTGTTCCTCATAGCCCGGGAGCCAGGCCCTGCCTCGGGGCCAGGATGCCTGAGGGCCAGGATGGCAAGGCCCATACCACACTCACCGCTCTGGGCCATGCCAAGTCTGGGGTGTCCCAGGCCATATAGGGGAGCAGAGGTATATTCTTCAAGGCCACCCAGTGATATGCTCACTGTCCATTCATTCATTCCCCCTTGTATCAGACTCACCCCATGCCCTGTGTGCCCAGCCCAGAGACACAGAGCTGAGTCTGGTTCAAGGAGCCCACAGTCTAGGGGGAGGTCCCATGAACAATCCACATGACGCAGAGCACAGAAGGGTGGCAGGTGTGGGCAGTCTCTGCCTTCTGCCTGCCACTCCAGAGGCAGTGGTGGCTCCCAAGTGCTCCAGCACTCCTGGCCTTGCGGCCTCTGAGCCTCCCTGCCCCCAGCTCTGGCCTTTTCCAAGCAAACAGACTGGATTATCAGTCTCTAGAACGGCCGGCAGGGACTGGGCCCTGGGCCAGGTTCCAGGCTGGCAGGCCGCAGAGGAGGGGAGCCAGCAGGGGCGGGGCCTCTGATGGCCCTTCTCCTTTTCCTGCCAAGCCTGCCTCAGTTTCTCACCCCTTTCTTCCCTCCTCCCCCACCCCGCCCGCACCAGTGATAATTCTCACACTCACTCCATCCCTCACCCTTTCCTCAGTCCCGCAGACCAGTTCCCACCTTCGCTTTCATACGTTCCCCACCTTGAGATGTCCCCTAGGTGCCCCCATCAGGAAGGCCCAGCCGCGTTTGGACACACCCAAGTGTCTGTTCAGGGTCTAGAGTTCTGACCCTCCACGTGGTTATTCTCTCCAGGTGATCCCCTGTGTTCTGTGGTCTCAGGCATGTCCTTTCCCTCATAGGGCCTCTGTTTCCTCATCTGAGAAACACAAAGGGCTGGACACAAATCTCTCTCATGGCAGAAAAAGCTTGTACTTTGGAGTCAGACGGAGCTGAATTCCAATTCACTTAGTTCCTTAACTTTTCTGAGCCTCAGCTTCCTCATCTATAAAAGGGGGTCTTATAAAAGCAGGCCACACAGACCTGTGATGAGGCTTACATGAGAATGCGGGGAAAGTGCTCTGTGTGGGTTTGGCCTCTGTTGCCCTCCCCTGGCAAAGGCCCATCCAGCCGTGCTGGGGTCCCACGTCTTCGGTGGATTCCTGTGTCGGACTAGCCAGCCTGTTATCTAATGGCTGTGATGTTACCTCCTCCCTCCTCCTGGAGCCCAGCCTTGACCAATGAGAGAGAATGAGGGGGGAGCAGGGGCTGGTGGGGCCCAGGCCCTGAGCTGCCCTGGTCCGCAGATGCCATCCCAGGCCTGGAGGAGGTACGGCTGGCCCCAGCCATGCGGAACCGGAATGGTGCCGTGTGGAGCAGGACCCCCGTCCTCTTCTGTGCCTGGGAGGTGGAAATGCAGATGAGGGTGACTGGGCTGGGGCGCCGGGGAGCCCAGGGCATGGTGAGTGGCCCCACCAAGGTCCAGTAGAGGGGGTGAGTCAGCGGGGCTGGTGGTGAGCCCAGGGTTCCAGTGTCCTGCAGGGATCCCTTGAGCTGAGCAGCTGGGGACCCGCAGGCCCTGTGGTACACCCAGGGCAGGGGCCAAGTAGGCTCTGTCCTGGGGGCGCTGGACTCGGGGTACAGCATCGGGACCCTCTTCGACTCCTCGGCTGAGGATACCCAGGTGAGTCATGGTCTCCTGCCCGCCGTCCCGCCCACACCCTCACCCTCCTCCCTGTGCCCGTGGCCCAGGCTGCTTGTCACCTCCCACACAGAACAGCCCTGCCATCTGTCTGCTGGCCAGTGATGGGCACAACCCCTACGAGGCGCTTGGGTAGGGCCCCGCCTGGCCTGCCCCGCACCCCATTCCTGCGCTGCGAGGGGCTTGGCGGTTACCCGCTCTGCCCACCATGCCCCTGCCCTGGCCTCTGGCGGGGAGCCCCTTCCTAGGGCGGTGCCCTCCTTTCTGGTCTCTCATCTAAGCTGATGGCACTGCCTTGGGACTCCCTCCCACTCGGTCCCAGAGGTGCCTCCTCCTCCGGGGCCTGGGACCAGAGTTTGCTTGCTGTTCCTGGGAACCACCCACTGAGTCCTCAACTCATTCAACCCAACAGCCCCAGGCAGTGGGAGCAGAGAAATGATGCGGGGTAGGACCCAGGTTCAGAGTTTTCAGTCACATCATCTCATATTGACACTCTTGAGAAGTGGGGATCATTAGTGCCATTACAGGTGAGGACACTGAGGCCCAGAGAGGGGAAGTGATTTGCCCCAGGTCACACCGTTGTGCATAGAGCTGAGATACGAGGGCAGACTTGCCCATGGAGTGCCCACGCCTTTCCCGCACTAGCTGCCTTCCTGCCTGTCTACCCGCACCGTCTCTTTCTCTCAGATGACGTGGCTGCCCATCCCTCCTGAGCCAGGCTGCCTCCTCAGTAGCTGGGCCAGTTCGTCAGTGTCTCTCGGCAGACATCCCCTAGCTCGCAACAATTAGAACAATTGCTAACGTTTATGACCTGAGCTTACTGTGCGCCGGGCACAGCGCCAAGTGCTTCACATTCATTACGTGGTGGAATCTCAACTATTATCTTCCTTTGAAAGGTGGGGAAACTCGAGTTTGGAAAGGTGAGGTAACTTGCCCCAGGTCACACGGCTCTTCCCCTGCCCCGCGCCGCCTCCCTCTTGGCTGAAGGCAGTGGTGACAGGCTCTCTGGCGTGAGAGTTTCTGTGTCCATGAGCCCAGAGAGACTCAGGAGTCTCGGGCTCAACACTCCTAACAAACACCCAGAGCTAGCGGCACCGCCCCTGCGGGGGAGGCAGGCTGGTCATACTGTCCTTGGCTGCTAGGATGAGTCTCGTGTTGCCTGTCCTGCTGCAGGCCAAGCTTGGCAGAAGGGAGAGGAAAGAGAAGCTGTACCCAGAGGGAAGCCCATGGGAAGAGGCCCGGGGAACTCGGGGTGGAAACCCCACTGTTGGTCCAGGCTCTGCCCCCTAGGGAGGAGTCCCAGGGAGGGCCAAGTCCCAGCATTCCGCCAGGCAAGGCCTGCTTTCCCGCTCCCCTCTCTTCTGCTACGGGAGCAGAAGACAGCAAGGGAGGCTCGAGCTAGACAGCAAGGACAGGTCCTGCACCAGTGGGGGCGGCTGGCACTGCAGGCCTGGGAAGAACGGCCTCTGGGACCACCCCTGCTGGTTAGGCCTCGGGTCCTGTGCGGCCTGGCTGGATTCCAAGTGCCCACAGGGATGGAGCCAGCCGGGTGCTGGGCTCCTGCCACCAGGACTTCCGGAACCGGCCTTACCCCTTCAGAGCACAGATCACCTACTGGGGGCAGAGGCTGCGTGTGAGTCTCCCCTCCTGCTTTTGTGGGTCCACCAGGCAGGGAGTGCAGATGACAGGGCTCGAGCTTTATGAATGCCCATGACCCCACAGACATACCTGTGACACCACACAGGGTCCCTGGCACATGCAGGCAACACCCCAGGGATCCTCCTCCCTACACAGACTCCAAACTGGCCCTGAGCACATGCTTGGGAGGGCTGGTGTGAGACCGGGTGTGCGAGCCCCTCTGCACCACTCTGACACCAAGCTGCTGCCCGCCTTCCGGGCCAGGGGAGCCAGTGAGTCAGGTGGGGACGATCCCCTTGCCGGGGTCAGGGGAGAGGAGTGGGCTCCCTCTGCAAGGGGCTTGCGCCCTCTGTGCCCCTCAGGTGTCCTTGAACAGTGACCTCACTCCCAGCGACCCAGATGAGGTCTGTGTCGATGTGGGGCCCCTGCTTTTGGCCCCTGGAGGTTTCTTGGGGGTCTCGGCAGCCACCAGCACCCTGGCAGGTGAGGGCCCCTAGCTGGGAGCTGTGTGGCAAGAGGAAGAGGGGCAGCCGCAAGGGACATTTAGAGAAATGGAGCAAAAGGATGTGATATGACAGAGAACCCACGGAGGAACTCAGCTGGAAAGCAGGGAGCAACCAGAGGTGGGAGTCCTGGAATGACAGGGCTTTGGTCTTTACACTCTGGGTGCTGGGGAGCCATGGAAGGTTTCTGAGGAGAACAGTGACATGGTCAGAGCCATGCAGAGGAGGTGGCCTCTGTGTGGTGGCTCCTGCCAGCAGCAGCCAGGCTCTGGGCCTGAGGGTGCTGCTCGGCCTGTGGTCATGGCTCTAGGTCAGGACTGTCCAGTTTTCTCACTCACTGGCGGTCCCCCTCTGGCTCTGTGTGTGGGTCGACCCTCACAGCCCACCCATCTGCTGGTCTGATCCTCACGCCTTTCCCATGAAGTGAACAAGACAAGGGTCAGAGCTGCCCAAAGTCACCCAGATCTCTTGCCTGCCAGGAACATAATGGAGGCTGGGGAGAGAGGGCTGAGTGAGTGAGTTGCCGGGTGGGAGCTACCTTCCCTCTCTACCCCCCTTTCCAGATGACCATGATGTCCTGTCCTTCCTGACCTTCAGTCTGCGTGAGCTGCGTGCAGAGGTAGCGCTGGCCCTGGGCCTTCCCTGGGGGTAGGGCTGGGGGAGAGGCAGCCCAGGGATCCCTCCCTCCCCGCATGCTCTGCTCATGTCCAGCTACCAGACCTGTCACTCCAACCCTTATCTCTACCTGCTCATGGAGCTCTGCTCAGGCCAAGTCTTGTGCTAGGCAGTGCTGGGGACCAGAGGTGACCCAGAGCCAGGCCCTGCCTGTCCTCAAGGACCTCCCAGCCTGACTAGGGCTATGGGAGCACAGAGGGATCCTAACCAGCCAGGAGAGCAGGGAAGACCACGCGGCAAAGATGAGCTTGAAAGAACACAGGGAGTGGCATGGACAAAGGCCCGAGGCCTGAGAGAGCTGCTGGGGTCTGGGCTGCAGCAGGAGAGAAGGGTGTGAGGGTCGGCAGTGCAGTGGGGCTGGGAGGACTGGAAAGTTCTGGGCCTGGTGGCAGAAGGAGGAGAACCAGCGGGGCGGGGGTGGATGTCTGGTCAGGGAGGGGGACTGGGTTTGTGGGAGGCCCTGTGAGGAGGCTCCCCGGCCCCCAGATCTCCCATGGGTTTGGGGCCTAAGTTTCCATCTTCTTCCTCCAGCCTCCCCCGCAGCCCTTCCTGGAGACAGAGCAGCTCCGCCTGGCAAGGCAGCTGGAAGGGCTGCGGGCAAGGCTGGCCCTGGGCACCAAGGAGGACATGATTCCAACGCCGAACTGTGAAGTCCGGGAAGAGGGTAGGGACCCAGGGAACGGGCAGGTGGGGCAAGGGCTCGATTGAGGGTCACAGGACCCTCTTCCCTTTGAACCAGGAGTCCTTTAACCAGTGGGGACACGGAGGCCTGAGGAGGCCATATGTAAGCAGGCTCTGGGGCCCAGGTGATGTGTCCTGTCCCTGCCCCACCACCAAAACACCTCTTGCCAGGGGAGAGTCTTGGAGGCAGAAGCCACACATTTCTGGCCCTCCAAGAAGCCTTCGAGAGATAGGATCTGTTGCCCCACCCCAGCTGCCGGCTGCCTGTCCCAGCTCTGCCCCAATCCCCAGGGGAAAGAAGCTTTGACCTGGAGGAGACACTGCACAGACACAGCCAGATCCTGCAGGCTCTCCAGGGTCTCTCCAAGCACTTGGCACAGGCTGAGAGGAAATGGAAGAAGCAGCTGGTGTCCCAGGCCAGGCCAGGCCAGAGAAAGCCTGGGTGAGTGGCCCCTCAGGCATCCAAGGGTCTGCCTGCAGGCCTGGAGAAGCCGAGCCCCATAGGCACTGGGTCTGATGGCACCAGTGCGCTCCCTCTGTCCAGAAAGAGGAGGAAGCACCGTACTTGGGAACTAGTCTCCCCCAAGGTCTGGAGGGAAAGGAGGGCAGGGGTGAAATGCTGCAGGCCGTAGGATGGGGTGGACCTGCCAGGCAGGGGAATGGGCAGGAGGGCGGCTCTGCACAGGCAAAGGCTCACAGAGCCCCATGGCTGGGGCTGGGGAAACGAGTTGCCACGTATTTAGATGTGGGTCTCCAGACAAGTGACAGAAATAGACCGGGTGTTTATTTGCATGTAGCTCCACGTGTGATTTGATTCACATACGCTTGCTTAATGCTCAGAATCCTCATTTCCCCTCCACTGCCATCCTGGCTTCTCCCCTGGGGAGTCATGTCCCATGGCAGACCCAGCCTGGGGCCTGAGAGCTGAGCTCAGTCAAGATGTTAGATGCTGGGCAGAAGAGGCCAGCTGCTCCTGTGAGCTTTGCTGGGCTCTGGCAGCTCTAGGTTTGAATCATGTCCTCAGGACAGAGCAGCTGAGGCTGGGCTGCTGGAGTGGGGCAGAGGGGAGGGAGGCCACACTCCAAGGCCAGGCCCAGGACTCCCCCCTGCCAGGTTCTACCCACCCCTGAGAGAGGTGGCCAACGATCCAAGCACCAGGAGTTGACTGTGCCCTGGGGGAAGTGGGGAGGAGAGGACTGGCCTCCTTTGGGGGCAGAACCACTTCTGGAAAAGGGAGGGACTTTGAGAAAGCTCCCAATTGGCCACTGTCGAGGGGGAAACCACCATCCTTAAGGAGAGGCTTTGAGAGGAGGGGGGAGTCAGAGGCCCAGGTGGAGAGGGTCAGATAAACCTAATGTATCCCAAACGAGGAGGGCCCAGGTAATGGGGTAAGGCCTCTAGAAGGAAGAGAGCTGCAAATCCCTGGGCAAGGTGAACTCTGAGAAGAGAGGGGCTGTGCCCTGGGCCCTAGAGAAGAGGCTGGCACTCCTGCAGGACTCAGCTAAGGTCAGTGCCCTACTCCGTGGACAGCGGACTCTGCTCCAAGACCTGCAAGAGATGAGGTAAGGGCACAGGGAGATGAGGATCCTGGGGGAGAGGAAGGAGAAGTCTCCATCCACCAACTTGGCTTCTCTGCCTGAAGACCCCCTCCCCCATTAATCCTTTATTCCTTTCATCATTTCACGAGCACCCAGCACAAAGTCTGCAGCATAGTGAGGGGCTAGGGGCCGAGTTAGGTTTGTTGAACTGACCTGAAATTAACTGAATCAAATTAAAATTTTGAAACTCCTAGTTTAAGCACAACTCCTTGAGACATTCTGACCCCAGGAGGGTTAGTAAATTTGAGCCTTCCTTCAGTGATAGCTTCTGGAAGGAGGGAACTTTTTTTTTGGCCGTTTCACGCGGCATGCGGGATCGAACCCGCACCCCTTGCACTGGCAGCACGGAGTCTTAACCACTGGACTGCCAGGGAAGTCCCAGCAGGGAACATTTTGATGGGGTTCTTGGAGGGAGCACAACCAAAATCAGGCCCAGCTTGGGGGTGGGCAGTCCATGACTTCATTTTACCCTCCTCCGGCCTCCCAGCAGCCCTCTCTAGGCCAGGCCTCTGGCGTTACCCATGGAGCCCTGGGGGCAGGGGGTCACCTTGATGCCATGGGAGGAGGATGGCTTCAGGTTGCATGCTGTGGCTGCACCCCAGCCCTCCTCCTTACACCTAGATGCCTGGGGGAGGGAAGATGGGATGAGGAAGAGCATCTAAATCCCTGGGGGCCAGAGACTGAAGGCAGAGCCCAGGGAGCCTGGGGTTGAGACAGACAGCTTTAGGGAGATGCTTCTCTGAGCTAAAGCTGTCTTGAGGAGAAGCTCTGGGGTAAAAAGACCAGTCCCCAAAAGGAGCCATATGGATGGTGTCTTGTTTCTCACCCAGGTGCTGCCTTTGGGGATTATGAGAAATGGTTAGGCAGTTTGGGTGCAATCAGAGGGGATAATGAGCTCTTTCC